TTGCTTCGACTACTAGTTTCTTAATTCTCGTCGTCGTCGTCGTGCCAATAAAAAAAATCTGAAACTATTGTAACTTTATAGCATTTTTCCAACATAAGGCCCAAAGGCAAAAATCCACCTTTTTACCGTTATATCTCAACCCTCAAGACGGTTGGGCCTGTTCCAGGTCGATTACCATCATGAGACATGACTTAATCGAAAGCAAATTTAAAAAGGAATAAAATAAAAAAACAAAAAAAAATCAAAGGTGACGTACTTTAAGAAATTCCGATTTTAAACTTTAAAATCTCAAAATAAGGGTGAAAACTACCCCCTAAAATTTTATAAATATTTTTTTCAGATTCTACGGGAAAAATGCTATAAAGTTACAATGGTTTCAGATTTTTTTTATTGGCACGACGACGACGACGAGAATTAAGAAACTGGTAGTCGAAGCAAAAAATCGAATTTTATGACAGCCATAGAAGCTCATGGTGTGGGTCAAAAAATCCGAAAAAATTCGACAAATGTTTTCTAAAATAATACTACCGACTGCCATAAGTTTCGATCAAATCTAATTTTTGAGCGTACCCCTTTCACAAGGAATGACCCATATATACACGGTGATCTATTTTAATCGACAAACGGAGATATCTCCGAAACTACGCAACCTACGAAAAAAATGTTCGGATAAAAGTTGTTGAGGACAGTGGGGGTCATCTACCTGTACTAATGACCTTGACCTTGAGGTCAGTTTTCAAGGTCAAGGTCACTTTTTTACATGGAACCCCCTATTTTTAATGCCGGATTCAGAAAGAGCGGGAAATTTTACATCCAGATATGTATCAAAGTATAAGGTTAACGTGACTTCCATAGGTCAAATGAAGGTCAAGAAACCACCCCTACCTAACCCCAAGAAGGCTAAACCACCTAACTCTGGGAACAGCGAGTTTAATCGTTTTTTTTTCTTTAAAATAAATTGAACTCCAATCCACAAGTAGACTGATTCACAAGCTCGTGCATTATCTTCGTTGTATTCATGATGTCGATGTTGTCGAACCAGATTTCTATCACGAGCTTATTGAGGTAGGTTTCGAACTGCTCAGTTGTTAGGATGTCTTTCATCTGGGAAACATTTAGTAAAAGCTTTCATGTAGCAAGGTAGTTGTTATGACAAACTACTATCATATCACTAATTTTATTTGCAAGGTAGCCTGCCATACTGAGAAAGTGGCTTTAAAGAGAGTTTAATTCGTTCAAAAAATTGGTAATTGAACTGTACGGGGCAACATTTAAAACTTTAATCTTTAAATTATCTCCTTAAATTATCTACATTTTGAATTTGTCTGAGATTGAAGTATTTAAAGAATTAAAAATTGTATTAATAATAGTGGTTTAGCCTGCTTGGGGTTTGATAGGGGTGGTTTCTTGACCTTCATTTGACCGATGGAAGTCACGTTAACCTTATACTTTGATACATATTTGGATGTAAAATTTCCCGCTCTTTCTGAATCCGGCATTGAAAATAGGGGGTTCCATTTAAAAAAGTGACCTTGACCTTGAAATGATTTTGAAAAGTGACCTCAAAGTCAAGGTCATTAGTACAGATAGATGACCCCTACTGTCCTCGACAACTTTTACCCGAACATTTTTTTCGTAGGTTACGTAGTTTCGGAGATATCTCCGTTTGTCGATTAAAATGGGTCACCGTGTATATATATTAGGCGTTCCGGTTAGTTTTGAAGGCTCACTGTAGATGGCTATAGCTACAAATCAATTAGAGATATTTTGAAAGTTAGTACGTCATTTTAAAGCTTGTACATTTCTACAAATCACATAGGTCCTGTATATTCGTAAATATAATCATATTGTTTAGTGCGATTGAAAATGGAATGTAATAAGGATCATTTTCATCATCTATTACTTTACTGTTTTGATTCAAAGAAAACGGCTGCCGAAGCTTACCGATTCATCTCAGAAACTTATTATGAGTCTACTCCACCAGTTAAAACGTGTGAATACTAGTATCGACGATTTAAAAGTAGTGATTTCGATTTGAAAAGCAAAGAATGTTCGGGTCAACTAAAAATGTTCGAAAATTCCGAATTGTAGGTATTATTAGATGAAAACTCAGCTCAAATGCTTGAAGAATTAGCTATAATATTAAATGTTGGTAAATCAACTGTTTCTGATCGTTTACACGAGAAATGTTTATTGGGAAAGATTCAAAAAGGAGGCAAATGCGTTCCACATAAATTGTTTGAAGTGGCTATTTAAAATCGTTTAACCATTAGCACTTCATTGTTTTCTCGTCACAAAAAATAGCTTTTGTATTCAATTATAACTAGTGATGAAAAATGAATATACTACAATAATTTTAAGCGTAAAAAATTGTGGTTAAATCCAGGCCAATCGTCGACATCGACTCCGAAACGCAACATTCACGAAAGTAAGGTTTTGTTATATATTTGGTAGGACATGAAAGGCGTCATGTATTATGAACTGCTAAAATCGAATCAAACAATCGTTGCTGAACGTTATCAAAAACAATTAATCGATTTGAATCGTGCTTTGAACCAAAAACGTCCAATAACAGCTCAAAGAAAATGCAAAGTAATTTTGTTGCACGACAATGCTCGACTGTACGTTGCAAAAGCAATTAAAGATACGTTATCGGCATTTCAATAGGGAATCATACCACATGCCGCTTGGTATTCACCAAACTGTGCTCCTTCAGATTATTATTTATTTCAATCGATGTAGCACGGCCTTGCTGACTAGTACTTCAAATCATATGATGAAATACAAAATTGGTTTGATGAATAGAATGCTTCGAAAGACGAACATTTCTTTTGCGGAATCCACTTATTGTCAGAAAAGTGGGAAAAAGTTGTAGCTAGCAGTGGAAAATATTTTAAATAAAATATAATTGAACTCTCTAAGAAAACGTGTTATCTTGCAAAATATCTCTTAAAATTAACCGAAACATCTAATATATATATACGTAATTTTCAAGTATTATTTAGATTTTTTTATACTCATGTCCTGATCACATATTTTTGACTTATGTATGATTAGTATATTAACTTTTTTCTATTTAATGTCTATTATTGTTCATTGATTTTTGACGGACTTTGGAGATAAACGTTAAAAATCCTTGGGAGTCTTCGTTCAATTTAAAGACAAGTTCAAATTTAAAACAAGAAATAATTGATAGCAGGCGATATTGAAAAATGTGGTGAATCAATTGTGTCAATTACACGCTCATCATCTCGCTTTTAATGTATACATCTACATTGAATAACGAAGTCCACTTTGTTGGCGGATGGAACGACCCATCCACTGACGACCTTGAAATCATCATTCAACCGGCAGAGACTCGAGAGAGGATTTGCCTTGGGTAATCGATGCCGCGAACTCGAAAACTAGGCCTGCACCCGCAATGACGTTGGCACATCGCATCGCGCATTTCTTATATATATGTCTATTGAAGAGCAGTGTTTCTCAGTTGATGCATCGCGAAACCGTAACGTACCGCGGGCATCCTCGGAAAGTTTTGTATTCTTAACGACATAGGAAGGAAGAAGAATCGTTCAAGCTCTTGTTAATTCCTTTATAGTCCGGAAATATGTAGAAACGCTTGAATTCTATATAAACTCTACAAAATTCTCTGAAATAATCTTAAAATAAACTTTTGCAATTTATACACATATGTACACATACACACTAACATACATATGCATTTTGCGAGATATCTTTCATATTTTATATATATTGTAAGAAAAGTATCAAAATAAAATATATCTTTGAAAATATTTACTTTTCGATGATTTCACGTACAATATTTTTATATGCAGAACGACTAGAAAAGAATCAATTTATGTTAAAAAAGTCATAGAATTTTATTTAAAAAACGAAGTTGACTTGAAATCTCGCATTTACGCTTTCATCTATAACAAAATTATTGTTGTTATATGTGACGTGCACATTAAAACCATAAAAACCTCATGCTTTATCTTATTTCCTTTGATAATAGCGAAGTTAATGCAGTTATTGTGATACATATACGTTCACTTGCACATGTGCTCACACAAATATACATGTCGATTCTGTATACGAGGTCTGTTCAAAAAGTATCGCGAATTTTGAATTTCCGCGGGTTACGTATATTCGATTTTCGATTTTTTTGTGGCGTTATGTTGGTACTCATGTCCCTCACTTATGCCGACAAATTCGGCCATTTTGAATATTCAGTTTATCTTTGACAGCTGTTTTGCTTGGACGTGTTTTGGCTCGTCTTCGATTTTTGCCTATTCCAAAAAATGGATCAAAGAATCTGTATCAAATTTTGTGTGAATAACAAAATTAAGTGCGCGGACGCATTCCGAATGTTGACTGTGGCATATGTTGAAGCTACCTTGAACCGAAGCAACGTTTATCGGTGGTACAAAATGTTCTCAGAGGGCCGAGAAGATGTGAATGACGAAGAGCGTGCTGGACGCCCTTGCTTACAGTTTTCTTCGATTGCAGGGACGTTGTGCATCATGAGTTCTTGCCACAGGGTAGAGCGGTCAATAAGGAATATTACCTGCAAGTTATGCGCAATTTGCGCAAAGCAATCCGCCAGAAACGCCCGGATTTGTGGAAGAACAAAAATTGGCTTTTGCACCTTGATAACGCCCCTGCTCACACATTGTTACTTGTGCGCGAATTTTTGGCCAAAAACATCACACTAATGATGCCGCAGCCACCGTATTCCCCAGACCTGGCCCCCTGTGATTTTTTCTTGTTCCCGAAACTGAAGAAGCACATGAAAGGACGACGCTACGCTAGGATTGAGGAGATAAAGACAGCATCGAAGGAGGAGCTGAACAAGATCACAAAAAATAATTTTTTGAAGTGCTTCGAGGATTGGAAAAAACGTTGGCACAAGTGTATAATACCTGATGTGGATTACTTTGGAGGAGACAAAATAGATATTCATGAATAAATAAATAATTTTTGAAAAAACACAAAATTCGCGATACTTTTTGAACAGACCTCGTATATGTGAACACCTAGGCACATACAGGATAATTCTGAGATATCTGGTGTTATCTGGTTAATAATTACAATAAGTTTGTTATTTATTCCGAAATTAAGATACTCTATTTTAATATTGTGATTTTACAGGCATTTTCGTAATTTAATATAAGCATGTCTTAATTAGACGAAATGAATCTGGGCGATTAATCGATACATATATCAAAGTGAATGTCGACCTCTAAATTAATTAATCGCGTCGATTAAATAAAATTATATAATGTATATGCATTTATTTACAGGTATCTATAGATATTTTATCGATTATATCTAAAATATTATTTAAAAAGACTAAAGAAAACTAACTTAGAAGTCGACAATGTAATCGCGAAAAAGACAAACGAGAAGGAGAGAGAGAGAGAGAGTGTGTGTGTGTATGTGTGTGTGTGTGTGTGTGCGCAAGTATGGCGTATGTACATGCGCGCGTGTGCGTGCATGCGTACGTGCGCGCGCGTATGTGTCAGAAAGAAGGCGCAGGAAAGGAATAGGAGGAGGAGCAGGGGGACATAGAAGAGGCAGACGGAGGTACGCGCGTTCATGGTAACGAAACAAATAGGCCGGCGACTTTCACCTCGCAACCAAGAGCAACTGTGGTGGAGGCTCAGAACAGTCGCACAGTTAAACTTGCGATCGAAGAGTCAGCTAGTCGCTCTTCGTGGTTCGAGTAAAGGCACCTCCGTTCGTTTCTCCCAGAAACCTTTTTCGAGAAAGCAAACGGTAATCTAATCGCGCTTCAGGAAAGGCGTACGAGGTATATGCCATATACAAGTGTACTTTTCTTGTTCGTTTGTTTGTACCACATTTACATGTGCGCACGTGATCATATACACGGTAATATGATAAAAAAATTGTACGGTGACATTTTATATTTCGTATAACACATAATACATAGAATATCATGAGTACATTTTCCTTCGCTCTTCAGCGTGAACTCGAGCATTTCTTTCGTATAAATAAATCGTGCGTCATTTTTGGTAATTTATCGACAGATCCGTATTTGGAGAATCCAAAGATTCGTATGAACCATTGGTTTGGTGCACTTTTGTGTCGCCTGCTGACTGATAGTACTAGCGAGATCGCAGTAGAGATATAACGACAATGTATTCCCACGGATATTGTTGACACACAAGAGAGAGAGAGAGAGAGAGATCATCGTAAGTGACTCAAGGTGCGACGAACACGCATGTGTTGTGTGTAGCACGAGAGAAATGCATAGGCGTGGATTCGACAAAATCAAGTGACGATATGGTACAGCGACAACGGTCGGCCTGCGGTATCGCTCCGACACATCGTGGGATTGTTTGGATCGCGCTTTGCTGGATCGTGTTACCTACTAAAACCGGTAGGTACAACTGCATCTCTTAAAGAAATTCGTTAAAATTCAGTCGTAATATGAACACGTCTAGTAACGACTCAAATGTATCTTGAGATTGAACATTTCGATATCTTATATGTCACACATTATTAATATTACACTGGTTGCTGATATTATTTGATGGATTGTATTAAATATTAATATATTAGACAAGATTTTCATTTTTGACATTAATTTCTACCTTACGTTTCATATAATTTGTACATGTAATATATACTAAGATATATTTGTACATGTAATTTGTACATGTAATTTATATTAAGATATATTCAGAATAAAATTATTCAGAAAAGTTAGGAAATTAATAATTTCCTAACTTAACGTGTTACACGAGAGAGAGATATGTTTAATCATTTTACTTTTATTCTGTTTTTAATCTGTTTTTAATCATTTTACATTTCGAATACTTTCTAAAAGCATTTTACAATTAACATGAAACATTAACAATTAACACAATTAACGTAAAAAGTATGTTACAATTAACTTGGTTGCTTATAATGATATATCGAACGTTCGTCAATTTCTACAATCTATCACAACATCGGTATATTAGGCGTCGTGCATGTGTATGTGCGCGTGCGTGTGTGCGTGTGCGTGCATGCGTGGTATAATATATTACAATCATATTTATTTTTTTATGTAGAATCATTTCCATTTCTTTAATTAACATATTTGAATATTTTTTAACCCGGTAATAGTAATTTTCTTTTAGTAAACTTCTAGAAAAACTACAGTACCAGAAAATTAAACATGTACACGTATTTTCGATGTATTTTCGTCTCCTGATTACAAATACGATGATAAAATTTGCCGGTCGGCCATATTTCGGCCGCCACATTAAAAAAATATATGAGGAAAACGTTTTATTACGAATATCTTTGAAATTATTAACGTTATAAAAAAAGTTCTTAATCAAGAAAGGCAGGAAATTACGTTTTCTACAAAAAAGGTTATATCTTCATTCATATAACTCTAACCGTTTTTATGTTAGAACGTTTTACAGCATTTACAATCGAATATTTTACATATGTCACGAATTATAGAAGAATATATTTTAGTAATTATTTATTATCTATCATTTACTATTATTATTTATTTTTATTTAATTTGGTTATTGTTTAGATTAACTGACCTACATCCAATGACCTACATCTTGACATATGTTGTTAAGGTCATGTCTTCTCATGCATCCTACTCTACGTCATGGGATAATATTAGGTTGGGGAAAAAGAAATCCATTATTTTTTCGGTAGATGGCTGTAGTGATCGATATCTTGTAAAGTATCGATCAAACGAAAGGTGACATTTCGCACTAAAAAATTCTTTTGTTGTTTGTTGTTTGGTCTATTCAGTTGTGAGTTACAGGGTGTTAAAAATGGAAGTCAACAAAGAGAAAATTCGGTACATTTTAGAGTTTTGCTTTGATAAAGGCGAAAATGCAAGGCGGCTGTAATTGTGAATGGTGTTTATGGCGCCGATACTGTAACAGCCAATTACGTGCAATTTTGGTTTCGTCGATTCCGTTCAGGTATTTTTGATGTTAAAGATGCATCTCGCACAGGTAGGCCCGTCGTCGAAAATGTGGATAAAATCACTGAAATAATGGAAGTTGACCGGCATGTTAGCAGTCGTAGCATCGCCCAGGAGCTAAAGATCGACCATAAAACGGTTTTAAACCATTTGCACAAATCTGGATTCAAAAAGAAGCTCGATGTTTGGGTGCCACACCAATTAACACAAAGAAACATGATGGATCGAATTTCCATCTGCGAAGCCTTGACCAAACGGAATGAAATCGACCCATTTCTTAAATGGATGGTGACTGGGGATGAGAAATGGGTCACATACGACAACATTGTGCGAAAACGATCGTGGTCAAAGCGCGGTAAAGCAGCTCAAACGGTGGCCAAACCAGGACTAACAGCCAGGAAAGTTCTGCTGTGCATTTGGTGGGACTGGAAAGGAATCATTTATTATGAGTTGCTTCCATACGGCCAAACACTAAATTCGGATCTCTACTATCAACAATTGGATCGTTTGAAGCTAGCGATTGACCAGAAACGGCCAGAATTGGCCAACAGGAGAGGTTGTGTTCCATCAGGACAACGCCAGGCCACACGTGTCTATATTGACTCGACAGAAAGTCTGGGAGCTTGGTTGGGAAGTTTGATACAATGGACATTCTTTTGTATCTGTCNGGCCAGAATTGGCCAATAGGAGAGGTGTTGTGTTCCATCAGGACAGGCCACACATGTCTATAGTGATTCGCCAGAAACTCCGGGAGCTAGGTTGGGAAGTTTTGATGCATCCACCATATAGTCCGGCACCGAGCTATTACCATGTTTTTCTTGCATTGCAAAACTTCCTTAGTGATAAGAAATTGGCATCAAGAGAAGATTGCGAAAATCGATTACTAGAGTTTTTCGCCAATAGGGACCAAGACTTCTATGAGAGAGGTATTATGAAGCTACCTTTAAAATGGCAACAATTATAAAACAAAACGGTGCATATTTGACCCAAATCGGACAATCCGAAACATGTTAAATAAAGTTTTGAAGTTCAAGTAAAAATAATGGATTTCTTTTTCCCCAACCTAATATATAAAATTCTAAGTTTGTGACACAGAGAGATGAGAACGAAACCCAAGTGCAATGCCGGCAGGTGTCCAAAAGGTGCAGTTCCCTAGTAGTCCAGGAAAGCAATACCCTCCTGGTAGAAGACCAGAGGGCAAAACCCCCGGTGGCGATTCAGGCGGCGAAGCCCCTCACAGTCAAAAAACAATGTTAAAATAAAAAAATTATAATAAAATTGCAATAAGAAAAAGAAAATGTTACTCTTGTTTATTACGTCACCTGGATTTCAATGATAAATGAATATGTCTATTAAATTTCCACCTTACTATACACGCGCGCGCGCGTGTGTGTATGTGTGTAAATTGATGGGTCTATCTCATACTAAAACAATAGATTCTGATAAGATTAGCAAAGGCTCGTATGCAAGGTTTGAGGTTATACATGCAATACAAATATATACAAGAAAAATTAATGATAAATTCTTTCAACTAATCTAGCGTAGGGGCCTTTGCTAATTTTACCTCAGTTGTTTTAGTATGAAATAGACTCATTAAGTTTAATAAGACAAAGATTTAATAAATATATTCATTTATCATTGAAATTCAGGTGACATAATAAATAAGATTAACATTTTCTTTTTTTTTATTATAATGTTTTTTGACTGCTGGGGGCTTTGCCCCCTGGATCCCCATTAGAAGTTTTGTCCTTTGGATCCCCACTGGGAGCTCCGCCCCTTGGAACCCCACCGGGGACTCCATCCATCGGTCTCCCATTAGGAGGGTTTCGCCTTCCTAATTCTTCTACTAGGGGATTGCATTCTCTGGACACTTCAGAATCTATTATTTTAGTATAGGATAAACTCATCAATTTAATAATGGGAAATATTTAAGAATAAATAAAAACATTTTTCATAAAAAACTCTTTGCATATTATTCAGAGATGTAATTTTGACAACACATGTCAAAATATAAATCATTGGAGGTAGATCAGTTAATCTAAATATTGACAAAAATAAATGAAAATAAATAATAATAGTAAATAATAAATAATTAACAAAATATATTTTTTTATAACGTGACACAAAATATTCGATTGTAAGTGTATAAACCGTTTTAACACGAAAACGGTTGGAGTTACATGAATGAAGATTTTACCTTTTTTTTTGTAGAAAACGTAATTTTCTGCATTTTTTGTTTGAAAACATTTTTTTTAATAATCTTAATAATTTCGGAGATATTTGTAATAAAACGTTTTTCTCACAAGTTTTTTCAAGATGGCGGCCGAAATATGTTCGATCGCCAAATTTTTTTATCGTATTTGTAATTACAAGACAAAAATACATCGAAAATATATTTACACGTTCAATTTTCTACTTTTGTAGCTTTTTTAGATGTTTAACATTTTTTTATGTAAATAGTCATTTAAGGTTATGTATATTCTAATTAAAATTCGCTACTATTAACGAAATATAGCATATTATCAACTATTTTATGGTTAATTATTATTTTGGAACAATGTGGATATAAATTAACTTCTTTATTTTTGAAAAGAATAAGGAGAAACCCAAAAATATTTAGAAAACGAAATAAGCGCATTAAATGTCTTATGGCAGTAGTTCAAATGAATGAAGATATTTTAAAAACACTATTTTATTCCCTTTTTTCAATGGAGTAGCATATTTAAAGACTTGTAAAGAATAATTATTAAAAAAGAATTCAAGGAATATAATATTAAATAACATTCATTTCATAAAAATATAAAATAAGGCTAAAACGCGTTCATACGTTACTAATGTTGGTTCAGGTTTGTAATAATTATTTATTTTTATATTTCTTTATTGCATTATATTAGGTGATTGCTTTAAAACTGGCTGGTTTTTTTCGTTCTTTAAGCATTTATTTTATAAAAAACTTGTTGGGTTACCTTAATTAAAGTATTTTTCCTCGGATGTTACTACTTTCTCCCACCTGTTTGATTAATGTTGAATCCCACGTCGAAAGAATGCCCTATCTTTTGACGATATCCACTCATGTATCCATTTTTGGACTTTCTCATAATTACGGAAGTGTGTATCTTCCAAGGCGTGTTGCATCTACCGAAATAAGTGATAATCACTTTGGGCGAGGTCCGAAGAATACACTAAGTGAAAGAGGATCTCCCATTCCAGTTCTATCAGTGTTTTTTTTTCAACGCCAATGCAACGTGGGGCTGAGCGTTGTCGTGCAGCAGAATCACTTTTCGGCGATTTGATGTTACTAACGGTCTTTTTTCCATTAAATTATCGTTCAAAGTTGTTTTGGTAACGTTCGGCAGTGACCGTTTCTTTGGATTTCAAAAGCTCGTAAAACACTACCCCCTCCATATCCCACAAGATACAAAATGGATATATCCGTT